GTGTGTATGTGTGTGTGTGTTTGTGTGTGTGAATATGTGTGTGTGTATGTGTGTCAGTGTGTGTGTGTGTATGTGTGTGTGTGTGTGTGTGTGTGTGTGTGTGTGTGTGTGTGTGTTTCTTTGCAGTCCCCAAGTGCACACAACAGCAGCGCAAGGGGACTGCACAGTCCCCTAACAACCTGCAAATAGTATATATTATGTCAGTGTAAAATACGATGCTGTCTTTATTTTCCTGACACTCAAGCTGTGGAAGTCAAAGAACAACTTTGACTGATATTTGTTCATTAATTTAATTTAACATCTGGCATCGTGCGACAGCAACGTCCTTTAATCGCATGTGTCTCGACTTCTATTTTCAGAAGTCAGATGGACTATTTGTTTTCCCATAAAAAAGACAAGAAAACTTAACAAGCTATAAGATAAAACCAGTAACTTCATAGCGACGAAAGTTGGTGGAACCCGGAAATATTTGTGTTTTGAACCATTCAATTTTGTTTTCTTTTTCTTTCTATACCTTCACAGGACGCAGCAGGTTTCTCGCGGTGAAAGTTCCGGTGCCTCAGCCTCCGATGGATCAGCTGGAAAAAGGGACAAACGATCTCCCTCTGAAGTCAGCTTAAAAATAATCCCTAGTATCGTGGACAGAGACAACGTCGGTCTTGACAAGAATAACCTGAATGCGATAACTGTCAGTCCCGAAAATGAAACGATTTATTCTGACGGGGAAGAGGACGTTTACGAGCTTGAAGAGGGGGGTTACGATTATACTTGTTTTGATGGACAGCAAGATGGACGCGGAAAGGAGGAAGGAAACATTGAAGAGGAGGAGATGTTGTATGAGGACATCCCAGAGCAGAACGAGAGAAAACATATGTGGCACAATAGACCACGTATTCCAACGCCCTTTTTACTGTCAGAGCGTTTAGGCCCCAAACCTTGCAAGTTCTTCGGGAATCTACTTGAGAAAAATCCCGCTAAAACTCTCGACGCTGAAGCAGGAGACAATGAAAGTCATCTGGACCGGAACGGAAGGTCACTTTCTCTCCAAACTGGGAAACGACCAGTCCTTTTCAACTCATTCTCTTCACCACCGCACGCTCTAAAAAGATGGAATGCAGACGGACAAGCGTATAATCCCTCTGGCGTAGATCAAGAAATGGTGTTTGATACCGAAGGTATCAAAGAAGGTGATGAGTACAGCCATTTGAACCGCACGTGCCGATCACATTCGGCAAATGACCAGATGATGACCGTTTACGGTTACCCAGGTATACTGAAAAACCACAGCGTGGGCACCGCTGCTGTTGACCCACTGTTAGCAGTATCAACTGCTCTTGTCAGTCACAGCGACGGTAATGTTACCTCTGCCACCTACACAGGGACAGGTGTGTCCAATACCCCAGATCCCCACGTTCGCATTGACGAAGGCGCTGGTGAGCCCGATTCCTCAGATTTGGAAGAACACATATACGAGATGTACGAAGGAAACGGTGTGTCAGTGGTTAGAAAAATTTCCTCGAGACTAGAGAAAAACCCGTATAAAGACAAACCAATGCAACTTCGGCCTGTCACGGATACACTTGCTGACCTCGATGATAACATCTATTCACTTGCATCAGCCGACGATCCCAGAGGTCACGAAAGCAAACAATCTCTCTTGACAGTCGAGCCAACCTCTGGTGACAATTGCAACTACATGATGACAGGTTCAGGCGTTACCCTAGACGAGGCCTCTGACCAAGCTGCGAAAGTGGACTCCTTTCAAGGACAGATGATAAACAGTATTCCTCTAATTACTGAAACCGCAAAGCCTGGCCAAACACCAGATGACTTTGAGAACGCATTCCCTGAACATGAACAACATGTCAAAAACCTAACTGGGGGTGTGGACCTGGAAACACCAGACGAGAGCTCAAAAGAACAATGCTCTGAAGGAAAAGATTCTCAAGAAAAGTGTTCACAGAAAGCACATGATCCAGGAAAATATATTCAAGACAATGTTACACATAAAAATGATGATTTAAAGATGGATTCTCAGGAAATATGTTCCGTAACAGGAGAAAATAAAGAAATGGATTCTCAAGAGTATATTTCCCAGGAAAATGACAACAAAGAAAATGACTCGGAATATACAACTCGTCCAGAAAACGATTTGCAGCTTGAACCTCCGTGCTCTGAAGAACCTCGAAGTAGCGACCAGATCCACGAAGTTCTTCAAGACCAACCCTCAGAGAAAGCTGAAATTCTGACTACAAGCCAGGACGTTAAAGGACTGGACTTGCCACAGTCTCCTGTTGACTCAAAAGACGGGGGTCAAATTTCTGGCGGCATACCACAATGCTTACCGGCTGGTAACTGGGTTAGTTTTCAAGGTGAGGATTTCTATGTTGTTAAGAACGAATTGTATACGCAGTCCTCGATAAATAATACGTGATGCACTGTATCCGACTTGAGCAATGTGCTTACCTAAGTTGGTCAAACCGCTTTATGGCTTTGTGAGGCTTCCAAGCTCAGAGTTTTAGAGAATTTTTCACCAACAACGTGTGTCCTGTTGACCAATGTCCTGATATTTTTGCTTCTCTTGCAGCCTCTACTTTACAAATTATTCTGCTAAAAAGAGGTGTGCTGCTACTTTAGCTTGGTGAAGATAATTTCACAAATATATTATGTATTTCCCACATTCAGCTTTTTAAGTACTGTTTGAGATATCAAACTGTAACATGTGGACATAATTCGAGATATCTTTCAGTCTATTTTTGAGTGCGTTTTAAGCATTTTAATATTGTGTTATTTCTTGTCTCTCCGCATTTCTTTTAATGTTCTTTGATTGTTAATGTTTTCAAGTTTAATGCAAATTTAATTGACTTAGTGCCCACGGCTCAATTCATTACAAACTCATAGTTTTGTTTCCTGTAAGACAAATGCATATCATTTTGCTTAGATGCAGTATGTTACATGCTCTTGATCATTTAATTTTCAGTTTTTGTTTCTCCGACGTTTTACCAAGCAAATATTTTACGTGACTTAAACTAACCCGTGTTACATTACGATGTCGATGGGATTAGCAAATATATTTCTCTTGTTTGTTGTATCGTCTGTTGCTTATTAATTATGTATTGGAACTCGGATTCAGCAAAGTCATCAGGCCTGGTCCTTAATTTCGTTGAATCCGAGTGTTCATTAAAGTAAACATGAATTATTGTGTCTGAATAATTACAGGCAGGGCGCAAGTAATGTATATATAATGTATTTTCTCAATCAAAAGTAGTTTGGTTTCAAATGAGAGACATTTTCATTTCTTTGATACCAAAGAAATACTGGAAAATACCGGGAAAATACACTGAACTCTGCCAAGCATACACTCTGAAAAATGGTCGATTTCTTCAAATGCACGCCTGTGTCATCTATCATCTATAACGTATTGTTTGCCAAACAAGATATGTTGCTACGTATAATGTTGCATGCGGCAACATTTGATTCCTCTGTCCAGCGCGCAATTCGTTACGCAGATCTATGGCATTAGCTTATCATTGCTATATTGATCTGTAGCTGGGAAAAAATAAGTGAGTCATGTCTGTATCTCTACTGACGTTTCACGCCCGCACCGCTTGTTGTACACCGTCCCCCAAGTTTCACACTAACACAGTCACACGTACGTCACATGAGTGGTGGCTGCGCGTCCGACCCTGACACACCTTAAGACATTGGTGCGTGCTAACAACGCGTGTGTGGGTATGAAAGGAAGCCACTGATTGATCGCACAAAGCAGTTCACACTTCGTTAAATCCGAGCTTCCTCATTTATGTGTTCGTCAAATCCAAGTTATATTTTATTAATATTTATGAATTTTTAAAAACTGGGAATCCAACTCCTTCGTCGAATCCGAGGTTATGTTGAACTTGAGTTCGTTGAAGTCGAGTCCCACTGTATTATAATTATCGAATGTTTTTTTCCCTGACCCTTCTCTCCATCTTTTCCTGGGCCTACCTTTTCCTCTGTACCCTTCTTATATCTCTGGCTGTTTGCTCTTGCTGTTATACTGTCTGGTGGTTATAGTTTTGACAGTTGTCCACAACACGATTTCATGTATCTGTTATCTATGTACTTCAAGCAGGCAGTTGCGCCCACACATAATTGTCTGGCTATCTCGTCCTTCACTCTCTTTCTTTCGTGTAATGTTTTAAGTTCTCATTAGGCATCACATCTCAAAGGCGTTTATTTTACGTTGATGGCTTTTGTTTATTGTTCGTGTTTGGGCTTAGTAGCACAGCACTGGTATACATTATGCTATTGATAAGTCGGTAAGTCACAGCATTGTTGTTGTTTTTTATTACTCTAATCTATGTTTTAATTATTGATCTATCCTTCCGTCTTCGCTAAATGCTTTTCCTGTGTATTTCAAATCTTTTTTTTTTTTTTTGGGGGGGGGAGGTGTTGATTCTGCTCTTGTCGACTGTGATGTTTAGTGGGTGTGGTGTATTGTTGATTTTCATCGCTTTCGTCTTGCTTGTGCTGATCTTCATTTATAACATACTGAATATTTAAAGCTAAACTTTGACGTTTGATGATGAAACGTTTGTCTAAGACTTTACATATGTGATGCAGCGTGGTGGGATCAGGCTCTCGTCAATTTTTAGGCATATTGAGTTATTGGTATCGTCTTAAAGCCTGTTCATTTGTCTTGCTTTCAATGAAAAAATTACCCTGCTATCTTCAATAGAAGTGGACATATTTTGGATTGAAGAAGGTGGGGCTCACCTGGTTTCAGAGGAAAAAATAGCGAGAAAATGGCTGCCAAAGCTTGATTAATTCCAAAGCTGGAGAGTCCATGGAAACTGTAAATTTATATTTTTGTGCTTTTAATCAATGTTTTTCGGTGAAATCCTCAACGGAATTTGTTGGTAAATGGACATAAAAGGTTTTGAGACAAAAACCAAAAATTTAATAAAAATTGCTAAGCAGGGAGAAAGCTGCTGTTTTCTTCGATTTCATTATTTTGATGAGCGCCTGATTTCACCACGATGCCTCACATATATTATATATTTATATTGTAGTTTAACGTCTTAAGAAATTTTTAGGCATATTGAGTTATTGGTATCGTCTTAAAGCCTGTTCATTTGTCTTGCTTTTATGAACAAATTACCCTGTTATCTTCAATAGAAGTGGAGATATTTTGGATTGAAGAAGGTGGGGCTCACCTGGTTTCAGAGGAATAAATAGCGAGAAAATGGCTGCCAAAGCTGGAGAGTCCATGGAAACTGTAAATTTATATTTTTGTGCTTTTAATCAATGTTTTTCCGTGAAATCCTCAACGGCATTTGTTGGTAAATGGACATAAAAGGTGTTGAGACAAAAAACAAAAATTTAGTAAAAATTGCTAAGCAGGGAGAAAGCTGCTGTTTTCTTCGATTTCATTATTTTGATGAGCGCCTGATTTCACCACGATGCCTCACATATATATATAATTTATATTGTAGTTTAACGTCTTAAGAAATTATAAGAGAGAAGGAAAGAAAGAAGTACATGTATATCACTCTCTCGTTTTATTATTTTATAATAGATTACAAAGATACAAAACTACACAAATACATAAATGCATGGATAATAAACAGAGTAAAAAAATCAGCAATCCACACACAGCTTTGCCGGTTGACACTGCGGAGCCCTAAATCTAGAGCGGAGGTTGTCGTGTGTTGCTCAAAGACACACCCTGCCTAGTGCTTGCCCACCTACATGACGTGTAATCAACACACCCTTAAAGGTATTGTTACCCTGAGCTCATTAACTACCCAGCCACAGTAACTATTTAAAATATGCGACTGCAAAATAAACTTTAAACAAACGCGCATTTGTGGAGCACTACGTTTACTCAAGATCATTAAAATTGCGTGTATCATTATCTTTTAAAAAAAGATTAATGATGATTATTGCTTATTTTACCAATATACCTTTTACTGTATACAGTTAATGATATTATTGTCATATCATTGTTACAATTACAGCTGTAATTGTTCTGATTGTTGTCATGATTGTTAGCAATATAATAAACATTTTTATCATTATCCGTATGTTAATTCTATACTTGGCGTAAAAAAAATCAGACACCCCTTTTTGTGTTTTTTGTATTGAAAGACTGATTTTAACCAAAAACAATCTCTCTATAAGGAAAGTTTGAACATTTTACAAATCAATTACACAAAAAACTATCTTTAAAAATGAACTTTATTTCCTGAAATTTGATCTTTAATTGTATGTCCTAAAATGAAAAGTCACAGTTAATACCGCGTATAGCCGCCATGGGCATTGGCGACTTCTGTGCACCTCTGCCGCATGCTTCGCCCGAGTCTTTGTATGGGATGCTGTTGAATGTTGTTCCATATTATGGTTGTAAGTGCTGTACGTAGCTGATCCAAGGTGACCGGCTGAGGTCTAAGGCGTCGGCGCACAGTCGGGGCACTTATGGTTCTCCGTCCCTTCCACTCCCTGGCTGTCTTGGTAGCAGGCCGGAGGCGATCTCGTAGGTGCAGCAAGACCCGAATGTACCGGTCATGAGCTGGTGTTGTAGCTCTAGGACGACCCGTTCGGGGACCATCCTGCACGAATCCAGACGTCTGCAAACGATTCATTAGTCGATATATCGTGTTTCTTGTCACATTGAAGGTCCTTGCAACATTCGCTACTGGCGTATTGGCCCTCAGCATACCAACTGCCTGATTGCGCTCTTCGTTCGTTAAACGCGGCATGCTGTATCTTTAGATTTAGATGTTTTGAAATGAAACTTTTAACGTTTTATTCTAGGCTACAGAAAAAAGATGTGTTAAACCCATGAAATAAATTTAAAAACCCAAAAACGTTCTAGAAGAATGACAAAACACGGTTTTTAACACAACAAGACCTGAACTTTATTAACTGGGCACCTGATCATAAATGCAGGCTGATCAGGAGCGTCAAGTGTTCACAATCACGTGTGGAAAATTTCTGCTCAATGGGTTTTCAACTTTTCATGAAACACGCAATTAAAATGTGTCTGGGTTTTTTTATGCTAAGTGTATATGCGAAATAAACTTTTCCATTTTTTCCTAAGAGACAAAAATACATATCGTTTATTTAATAAATAATATGTATTTATTACAGATTTACGCTTAACTGCAAATGTCACAGAGCCTGAAGGATTGTGTATACATTGTGGGTTTATATGTGTGTGTTTATCTCTGTGTTTGTGTGTGTCTCTGTGTAAGTGTTTGTGTGTGTGTGTGTGTGTGTGTGTGTGTGTATAATAATATAAATGTTTAAAATAAACCAATGGCATTATAAAGCATGTCAACAACAAGAACACAATCTACAACACTAAAAAACAATCATCCTCATCAATGACAACAAACTACAATTGCGACAGCATCAACAACAGCCAAAGCAAAAGCAAAAAAAAAAAATCAACTACAACAATAACAACAACAAAAACAACAACAACAACAACAACAGCAACTGCAATAACTGCAACTGCCACAACAGCAACACAACAGTAAAAACTAAAATGGCAAAACCTTACTCGCTTTTTAAATATGTGAGGCAGTGTGGTGAAATTAGGCGCTCGTCAAATTAATGAAAGTAAAGAAACTGGCATTTTCCCGGAAGTTTGGGAATGTTTATCAAATTTTTGTATTTTGGTTCTACACCTTTCATGCCCTTTAAAGAACACATTTCATTGTTGGTATTACTGAAAAACGTTGATTAAAGACATGAAAGATGTACATTTTCAGATTTCCAATTTTCAGTGACTCTCATGCTAAAGAAATAACTCAACTTTGGCCGCCATTCTCTCGCTAATTTTACCTCTGAAAACAGGTGACCACTACCTTTTTCAACCGCCGATATCTTGACTTGTATCAGAGATAAATGGATACTTTTTTTTATCAAAAGCAAAGCAAAAAGACAGGCTTTAGGATTATATAAATAACTTCATATGCCCAAAAATTTACGAGCGCCTGATTCCACCGTGTCGTGACACATAGCAATTCAATAGCTTGAAAACAATAATTATGTATTTAGATGTCAAAAAGAGAATAAATACTCGTCTGAATTATACGCAATATGAACAGGATAAATAGTAATGATATGTGCCTCACGGCATAACGTACTACTTCACATGTTAGTATGTTACTATTGTAAGGCGCGTTTGGGCGAGGCGGTGGGCACAGAAGAAGAAGAAGAAGAAGAAGAAGAAGAAGAAGAAGAAGAAGAAGAAGAAGAAGAAGAAGAAGAAGAAGAAGAAGAAGAAGAAGATGAAGAAGAGAGAGTGAGTGAGAGAGAGAGAGAGAGAGAGAGAGAGAGAGAGAGAGAGAGAGAGAGAGAGAGAAGGGGGGGGGGGGGGTAATAGATGGAGAGTGCGAGTGATGGAGTAGAAAAAAGGGGGGTTTTGTATTGAAGACCCGAAGAGAATAAAGGACACCATTAATAGATGGGTGAAAGTACGCAGCTAGAATGAAATTATGAAGAAATTGTGAGATCGAATATCAAATGAGACAACAAGAGAAGGAAGAGATCAAACAGAATTGAGTCACAGAATGATGCTAAGCACGACAGAATAATTGTACAGACATAAGAAACAAAAAATACCTAACGAAGCGGAGAAATCAGGTGCTCGACAAATTTGATATGTAGTTATTGGTATTCAGCCTAAATTTTGTGGGGAAAAAATTAATCTGTCTTTAAAAGATCTGGACATATTTGCACCTGAATGAGGTAGAGGTTGTAAAGTGTGAGATTGCCAAACGGCAACAAAAAAAAACCCCGTTTCTTCACCTTTTTTTTTTTTAGGGGGGGGGTGGGCTGATTTCACCACGGTGTCCCACAAATCTGAAAAGTTATCTGAAGTGAAAAAAAAAAAAGAAATGTGATGAGTTGTCTGGTGTCTGCCCATAATAAAGGACGATTCCATCACATCAGAACTCGACAGTTAACGATTTCAAAAACAAGGACAAGAAGGGTTTTGGGGTTTTTTCGGTCAAGATTCTTGAATCTTCTCGACTCCTCGCCCTCCCACAGGCCTTGGCTTTCATCGTGATTCCTTCTGATGCTGTTGAGGTACATAAAGGAAGAAAGTTCTTTGGTCGCAGCGGGAAGCTCCAATCTTGGGAAGAAGTGCATGTGCCCTTGAGAATGATTATAAATGTCTATGTCTATTTTTTGTCAGAATTGACATACTACTATCATAAAATAAGACTTTGTAACACCTGTAATTCAAATAAAAATACAGATTTTTAGCATTTATTTGAAAGATTTTCTGGTACGTTGAAAGCAAAGTTCAA